TATATATATATATATATATAGGCATTCGCTAAAAATGCAATGCACCGTGCAGCTAGTGTTCAGCGACATGCAATGTAAATGCAATACCGATTTTATTAATATAACCGCATATTGCTACATTTGTTCTATACTACTTGACTAATCATACAATAAGATTTTTTATTTCAATCTTATGGTATTGCTTTAACAAGTAGTTCAGAAAAAATTACCCAATACGTGGTTAAATTAGTAAAATTGGTATTGCATTTACATTGCATGTACCCGAACAGTTTCTGCATTACATTTTCAACATATGCATTCTACATATAATATAGACGTATGGGTCAAAAATCTGTATTGTAGAGTCCATTGCATTGCAGAGTCCTGAGTTTTTTGCAGTGCAGAGTCCTGGGTGCACTGCGATGCAGAGTCCTGAGTTTATTGAGTTGTAGAGTCCTGAGTCGATTGCAGTGCAGAGTCCTAAGTATATTGCATTGCAGAGTCCTTAGACAATTGCGATGTAGAATCCTGAGTTTATTGCGTTGCAGAGTCCTGAGTTTATTGCGGTGCAGAGTCCTGAGTTTATTGCGGTGCAGAGTCCTGAGTTTATTGCGGTGCAGAGTCCTGAGTTTATTGCGGTGCAGAGTCCTGAGTTTATTGCGGTGCAGAGTCCTGAGTTTATTGCGGTGCAGAGTCCTGAGTTTATTGCGGTGCAGAGTCCTGAGTGTATTATGTTGCAGAGAGTCTGAGTTCATTGCAGTGTAGAGTCCTGATAAAAGAAGCATGTTGCACATGTTTTTGCACATTTAAACGCAAAATCTTCCTTTGCCCGCAATGATTTTTGAGCTGACAGTCAAAATGTGCGTCTTCATGTATGTGCATTAAAACATGCGTTTAAAATGCACAATGCGCATAAACGTGCAAATAACTGCATGATGCTTACACACATAGAAATGCGCAGAAATGGTGCTGCCTAGGTGTGAATCATGCCTAATTTAGTGTATTGTTTACAAAGGCACAGTAATCAGCACCTCTGCCTTTGCACATGATACACTGTCCGGGGAGGAGAGTTTGGCACTATGAATACTAAGGAATAGAGGGTGGGGGGAGTGGTCACTTGTACTATACACACATTACTTGCAAATCACAATTGCAGCCATTTTCACGAGGAGATGAAGAGGAAAGCTAACAAAAAATGTATAGTTTTTGTGTTCGTTTATAGCAACTGCATATGCCTGTTTCATATACACTTGGTGTACATTGCTGGCATATGTTTTTTTTTTTAAATACCTCAGCAAAGGTGGAAATGGCCTTTAAGTGCTCATTTGTGTCTAGGTGCTACTTTACAACACACACATGGACCATTGGGAACAAAAATGCAGAGATGATTGGAGGATCTACAGCTGAGTGATATACACAAAAAAGCTAAATTTTTGTTACTAGTTAGGATATTGAATGCATTTTTAGGATTTAACTCCTGAGTTTAGTGTCACTTTAAGATAACAAAGTAATACAAATGTGTTTTTTTTTCCAGAATAAACTAGACTTTCTTTTGGTTGTATTGTCTTGCAAATATTTTTCTATTTTCAATGCCATCTATAGAAAAAAAGAAATTAAAAGCTAAAAACACTTTTCTACTTTGATTAGTGTACATTAAAAAATTATTACTGTTAGTTTAGAAACAAGTATAAACTGTCCTGTGAAGTTTTAGAAAATATGGTTGTCTTGGCTGGAACCACTTAAAGGAGAACTATGGGGTTAGGGCTTTTCCCCATATCACGTCACCCTAAGCTCAGTATACTGAGGCTGCAGCTCGCGGTATACTGAGACGCCGCAGCTGAAGCGGATCCAGACAGTTATGTCTGGATCCGCCCAGCTGGCTCTGCCTATCTGCTGTACCCGCCCCCTCCCCCGTCCGTTCCGCCAGTCAGCGCTGGAGGATCGGAGCGGGGAGGGCGGAATCCAGTCCCTCCCCTGTTACGGCAGAGAGCTGTGAAAGGATCGAGAAGTGAGCGAACGCCGGTATGTGTTCGCTCGCTTCCCGATCTACTGAGCCGACCTGTGACAGTCTCATTGTCACAGGTCGGCTGGAACTATGAGGTGAGTGAAAAGCACTCACTGCTTTTGCATGCGTTTTTGATGCGTTCCAGAGCAGATCCAGAGCAGGTAAAATAGTGCCTGCTGCAGTTTTTTCACCTGCTCCTGATCTGCTCTGCAACTGCACGCTGCGATGTGAACTGGAGCAAAAAATACCATTGGAATACATTGGACGCAGTTTTGATCCGGTCTGCACCTGCTCTGCTCTGGATCTGCCCCGCGCTTGGTGTGAACAAGCCCTTAAGGCTTTATATAAGTTTAATTATATACTTATTCTCTTTAGGTGTGGGAGAATAATTTAAGGGAAACAACTGTCCTCTAACTAAATGTCAAGGAATGGGGTAGAAATGCAGAGACCAAATACATAGTTACATAGTATTTGGGGTTGAATAAAGACATACGTCCATCAAGTCCAACCCATATAGGTCCACGCATCATCTCATTCTTAGGGATACTGGTATCCCTGGATATTACGGTCCCTCAAGAAATTGAACAAATCTACACTCTTGGCTGAAATCACTGCCGATGGCAGTGAGTTCCAGACCTTAACCGCTCTTACTGTAAATAACCCTCTTCGCCCATTGTGCTGGACTTTTTTCTCCACCAACTTTAGGTGGTGGCCTCTAGTCTTTGTAATGGAGTTAATCTCAAACATTTTGTTGCCAATGTTGCTGTCACCATTGAACATCTTGTACATGAAAATCATATCCCCCCTTAATCTCCTTAATTCCAGCGTAAACATGTTTAAGGTCAGAAGCCTTGTCTCATAGCTCTGGTCCTCCATTCCCCTAATTAGTTTTGTTGCCCTCCGCTGGACTCTCTCCAGTTCAAGGACATCCCTTCTCAGTACCAGCGACCAAAACTGGACCGCATACTCCAGATGTGGCCGAACCAACGATCTATATAGAGGCACAATTATAGACTTGTCCCTGCAATACATCCACTTCTTAATACAGGACAAGACCCTGCTAGCTTTGTTTACCGCAGCTTGGCACTGCAAGCTACCATTCAGTTTGTGGTCTACAATGACCCCCAAATCTTTTTCTATTTCTGACTTCCCTAGCGGCATACCCATGATTGTATAGCCTATTTGTTTATTTTTATGTCCAAAGTACATTACTTTGCATTTATCGACATTAAACCTCATCTGCCATAGTATTGCCCACTCCCCTATTTTATCCAGGTCCTCCTGCAATGTTATATTGTCACGATCCGTTTCTAGTACCCTCCCTATTTTTGTATCGTCTGCAAACTTGGAAACGTGGCTATTTATTCCCTCCCCGATGTCATTAATAAATAGGTTGAACAGTATCGGACCCAGCACAGATCCTTGAGGCACACCGCTCATTACACTAGCCCAGTCCGAAAAGGTGCCATTTACAGATACTCTCTGGACACGTTTCCGTAGCCAGTTCTCTATCCACGTACACACCACCTCATCTATGCCCATAGCCCTCAGCTTGTGAAGTAAGCGCTTGTGTGGTACCGTATCAAATGCCTTTGAGAAATCCAGTAATCCAGTTATACCACATCTACCGGCTTCCCTCCATCCATATCTCTGCTTACCCCCTCATAAAAAGTTAGCAAGTTAGTCAGGCAGGAACCCATGCTGACTGTCATTAACTATGCCCTTATCCTTAACAAATAAATACGGTAAAAACAATAATTTGTAGTAAAATGATTATTGTGATAAATTATACTCTAAAACATGAAAGCCATGCAAAGTGACAATATTAAAAAACAATTAAATAGGTTATAGTGCAGGATCAAATGTTACATCACAGGTTTTGGGTGGGACCCTGGCCGGATGGAGGGGCACTGCCTCTCTTTTCTTTTTCCTTCCTTTTCTTTCTCACTTTCTTTTTCCTCTCTTTCCCCTACATCTTTTCTTGTTTTATTTTGTTTACCATATATTGCCTTATGCTCGCTATGATGATGTTTAGGTATCTGTTGTGATAGATATAAGTAGCTTTATGTAGTATTTTTCTATTTTTTTTTAATTCCCTAAATATTAGTGTTATTTTAACCACTTCCATGGCTCTCACCTTCAGTGATCTAGAGAAATCAGTGGAGAAGATCAAGAAGGATATTGCGCACAACCACCGGCTGATCTCCGTACAGGAGCTGGAGGAGAAAGCTGTGGTGCTGAAGCAACTTGGAGAGACTCTGACTGATCTTAAAGGTAAATAACAAATTATTCTCATTGGATAAGAACACAGTAATGGAGAACTTCCACATTATATTGTTGTTTGCAATGTTGGATTAAGTTCTCCTGGGCCTGGAGCTCTTTCCAGTTCAGGTCTGCCTGTGTCAGGAATTCACCTTGGATTTCAATTCAATTTAAAACTCTGGGTAATTTTTTTTTAATATTAACCGTAGCAGTGGGGCTACCCCCGCACTGCAAGGGTTAAGTGCTTGTTATGGTCTAGGGACCCGGTCCTCCTGGCTGGGGGAGCTGTGACAGCACCCCCTGCAGCCTGCCTTCTTCACTGCAGCACTGTCCCTCGGCGTCCCCATGTCCTATGCAATTTACCAAAAATGGAGGAGACAGAATCTGCAGCAGCTGTGCATGGTAATTAGTGATAGTGCAAACACAGTTTGTCTGCGTTCGCCCAACTCAGAGCAAAATTGTAATTGACGCACAACCTAATCAAGGCATTCCCCACACCTTTGTGACATGCGGCTGTGTGGCAAGGAATGTGCCTACCACAATTAATTGGGCAGGCAGGGGTTGTGTCAGTCATAGTTTGGCTTGGGCAAACTCTGGTGAACTGGGTCTGCTCCAGTTTAGTAAATTCCCACCATTATATTTAAGATGTTACTGTTATATCTATATTATGACAATAGAACTAGCTGAACAGTTTTCTTAAATACCAGAAAATGTCATGTCACCAAAGACACTTAGTAGTGCTATGTTACTAGGGACACAAATATACTGATGCACATTGTTTTACCATTTATGGAATATTAGCTTTGAGGTGCCCCTTGTCATAGATTCAATATTGTTAATGATGCCTTGTTGTCAACATTAAAACCCATCTCCACTTTTGCCATAATAAAAAAGAAAAGCATAGTGGCCCAGCACGTGCAAGTTAACCCCTTTGTGACGGGAGACGTACAGTGTACGTCCCGTCACAAAGTGGCTATATGACTGGCCACGTTATACAACCATTTACATATGTAAAAAATTATATCGAAGTTTATTAGACAAAGAAAATTGTACCAAATCCTCAATTTATTTTTCTGCAGCCTCAGCACTCAATGAATGGGAAGAACTCAGTACAGAGGTGTCCCATTCAATTCAGAAACTGCTGATAGTAAATATTTTACTATCAAGCAGTTTATGAATGGGGAGAAGCCTCCATAGGGAGTGCTACTCCCCATTCAGAAATTCATGAATGAACAGGCTGTGATGTAAATCACAGCCTGTTCATTCATAACTGAGGA